TGCTCCCCGTTCCACCCGCAGCGGCGAGCGCGAGTGGAGTTACTGCGGGCGTGGGAGCGTGTGGAAGCCCGAAGGGTAGCTGCCTGCTCGCCCGTGAGATCCGGGCCTCGGAGGAAAACCGAACCGACGCTTACGTGTTGGGTAACGCTTTTCTGCGCTGGGATTGCGTTTTCTTGATGTGCTGTAGGAGAAAGTGGGGAAGAAAACTAATGGCTCGGAACCCGGACAGCTTCCTTGCCGTGCTTTACGCTCCTGGCTAAGCGGTGGCGGCAGCGGTGCGACCCATTTGTCGTCAGCTGAAATAAATCTCGTGTGATGTCGTGAATCTCAAAGCAAAAAGTGCCTCTTGAGAAAGGTGGAAACAAGTTATTCCTGTAAAAGGTGGTCTAGTAATGTCTGTGAAGGAAACGAGCTGTGTGATGGCAGAGTAGTTTTGCTAGGCTTGGCGTTCAGGACTGTGTAAGATCATCTAAAACCAAACCAACCCGTGTGACTTTAAACATAAAAGTGTCGGTGTGGTTGGGGGGGGGCCGGCTATTTTCCTTCTGTATTACAGCCATTAAAATTATCCTGGATCAGACTTTCGCCCTCCTTTCAAAAACGAGATTAGACAATCGTGCTAGAAGTTGCCCAATTCCATTAGATGCAGCCTTAAGTGAAGCCGTTGTACATCCTGCAAAGTGAAAGTCGGTAACAGCGCTGAAAACATCTCAGTGTTGTTATTGGATCATTTGCTTAGATCTCCGTCGGGGTGAGGAGGTCAAAGGAACCCAGCGTGTGCTGGGTTGGTGTTCATTTAAAGCAGGGTAGGTGCAGGTGCGGGGGAGCTGCTGTGTACCTTTTGTTGTAGTAAACCCCAGCCGCCTTTGCAACGGGCTGGGCTTGCATGTGAAGGGCGCAGCAGGACTGGGAGCAGAGCTAACTTGAACTTGGTTCCAGTCCCGTTTAACTCCGGTGGCACTTTGGTAGCTCGTTAACCGATCATTGCTGTCTGAATGACTGGGATAAAGTGGCTTGGAGAAAAAGACCTCTAAATGATTTAGCCTTAAGTTTCAATGAGCTGTTACTGCTTCCTGCGCCGGCAGAGAGAGAGAAAGGAATCTGTGCTGGTGAATGGGTGTCCTGCTGGTCATCAGCAGTGTGTCTTCCAGCCCTGTAAATTAATAAGTAAGACTGTAAGCAGGCAACATCAAATGGGACAACTATCAAAGCTATCGATGTCCCATTCTGTGGGAGAGCATCAGCTGCCGAAGAACAGGCAGCGAGATGAGTTTTGTGCGGCCGGGATGTCAGCTCGCGCTTCGCAGAGCCGCACGCCAGCAGCCTGGCTGCCTGCTGGCTCCTCTCCCCCATGCCAGGGCCCCTGCTGCGGTCCCCTGCCGGGGTCTCGCCCGGGGACCCTCGGCGTGGGGGGACTGCCGAGCAGGCTTGGTATGGCCCAAGCGCTGCTGCCCTGTGCTCGCCTGCGCTGCAGCCGCTTTAAGAAATACTTGGGAGGATCGATTTGGTGACAGCTGTTATCAACAGTTTTGCATTATATTGTGGTATAAAATTGTCGGTGTAGGGGAAGATGGCTGCCAACAAGGGTACTAGTTGGGCGAGTGTTGGGCAACTGCAAACTGTAACGTTATAACCTGAAGAATGGCTGAAACGGGCGATTCCAGCATGAGCGTTGGAGTCAGTGCCTGACTTTCTCTGTGGTTTGTCTGGCGGTGTTCTGATGAAAGGCACATCCTGGATTATCTCTGATCTGCAGCTTTGCCCCAGGCAATATATGGGCTGTTTGGTATGAGATGAGAAATTGGCTCAGAAAATTAAAAAAAAAAAAAAAAAGTCTAAACTTAGTCATCATTTGGTTTACAGAATTCTTCCTATGCAGCATGGGATTATCCAGAGGGTTATTACTTAATTTTTATGGTCACTGGGAGTCTTGGGTTTTCAAATTATTTAAGTTATTTAGCTGACGTGTGATGCACAATGTCTGCACGACAAAGAGTTCTCTTTATAGGAAAGAAGAAATGAAAATAATTGCACTCAATTTATTTGCCCCAAAATTATATGCGAGTTTTCAAAACTGCTGATGTCTGCTGCTTTCCATGGCTCTGTCTAGTTTTACTATGGATATTACATGTTAAAGAATTGTTGAATTTGCTATTAAAACAACTGCTGATATTTTGAAACTCTCACTCTGTTCACTAACTTCGCTGTAATACAAACCTGGCAAATGGTGTGTTTCTATTTGACAGACCTTTTTTTTTTTTTCTTCTTTTTTTTTTTCCTTCCCCTCCAATACTTGCATTTTAAAATTTCAAATCACTTTGCAAAGTTTGTCCTTTGTTAGGCAGGACTTTTTACAGGCTGGGAAATAAAAGTATGTAAGTTAGCTGCCTTCCCAAGGTCATGTGAGGCCAAAACTCGCTCTGTTACTCTGATGCTATGAGAACAGAACTGGGCACAAAATATCTATGTGGAACTTGAATCTCTTGCTTCCTCTTCTGGTGCTTTTAATTACAAAACCATGAAAGCTTATTCTGAAGACCTCCATCAAATTAATTAACCCTTAATATGCATGCAGTTCTACAGGAAAAATGTTCTGCCTTGAAGATAAATTTTCCACGAATCATGGTGCATGTAATTCTTGGCCTTGTCTGTATGGATGGAAAAAACAGTTTTTCTAAATATGAAATACAATACTGGTAGCATAAGCGGTGAGGGGTATTTCTCTTGTGTTTTTGCAGGTAAACGACCTCTGCTGGCATGTGCGCTGTCTCTCGTGCAGTGTTTGCAGAACGTCTCTAGGAAGGCATACCAGCTGTTACATCAAAGATAAAGATATCTTCTGCAAACTTGATTATTTCAGGTATACCATACAGGAATATAATTTTATTAGATAATACGTGACACTTGCTTCTTACTTTTCACTTAAGCCACAACTAAAATGCGGATTTAGGCTCTTTGGTTTTTATTTGCTAGGTTTATTTTCAGTAGTTAGACTCTTGACGTTTCTTGCAGAGGAAGCCCCAAGTCTGCCTAATGTAACTGCCTATGAAGTCTCCCCCTCTGCCCCTCCGCTGTTGTGCATAGCGACTGCATTTATACAATAATTTGCTTCTGCACGCGTGGGGAAAATAAGAGTCCCTGCCACAGTAAGGTTGTAAAGTTACTGTATGTGCCAAGAATCATCCTTAGGTGATGCCGACTGAGAATACAAGGTAGAGTTGAGATGATGCTCTGTTTGGATTAGCACTCCACTGGTATGAGACTTGGGGCACCACATGGAACTACAAAACCAACCCAGGTTAAATCCCATCATCTTCAAAATAAGCTTTCAGCAGTTATACCTTTCTGTGATAAATTTAGTTTGGAGCACGAAGCATTCTTCAAGATTAAGGTCTAATCGTCTTGAGAAGAATGCTATTTATTTGTGCTGGCATTGAAAGTACTCATGATACAAAATCTTTGGTCCAGAAAGTGGCAAAAAATTTAACTGTTTTGGTGTGATCATTAGTACTTCCCCCAGACCAAACTATGGGATTCTCACCTGTCTAGTAAATGGATTATGTCCATTTAGTTTTGACACGGGAAGAGAGGGATGGGGCAGGCTGAATACTATGAAATCCTAGAAAAAAAAGTTTTGTGGGACTTCAAAAACAACAAAAAAAACCCCTTACGAGCCTGCAAAGATTTTCAGGACAAATGCTTATCTACATAATCAACGTATCTTGGTGGCTAGTTTCCTCTTCAAAGAGAAATATTCTATCGCAGTAATGTAAATACTTGCAGATATTTGAATTTCTTTTGAAATCATAATGCGATGGTAATTAAGGAAATAACTATGAAGATGCAGGTTTTCCCCCTTCTTCTGCTGAAGGGGACTGAATGATTAGTGAAGGATGATGTAGCTAAATATAATAATTCAGACTACCACTAGAGTAATGTGAAATATATTTGAATAATTGGGAGAATTTTGAACACAGAGTCAGCTGTTTCCGTCTCCCACTCTCAGCCTTTTAAAGAGTAATTACCTTTATAAAAGGAAAGATGAAGGGTTGTGGATTCTTGTAGCAGTTAAGATGTTTCAATTTAACTCTTTGCCTTATGAAAATATTAACTTCTGTAGTTCAGTAGTGGTCTTGCCTTAAGCTATCGGATACAAACTTGCTGATTTTTCTTTTTGTTTAATAAAAACACAATTATGTTGTCGTCTCGTTCCTTGCTGCAGGTCTCTGCTGCGCTGCCATATCTCGGTTGCTTCTAACCCTCCTGGGGTCACCCTTTTGCCCGAGACTGTTACTGTCTGTGCTTTTACCCTCCTGTTGCCTTTGCTTTTGCAGGCGGTATGGCACCCGCTGTTCCCGCTGCGGGAGGCACATTCATTCTACTGACTGGGTCCGAAGGGCTAAAGGAAACGTGTACCACTTGGCGTGCTTCGCCTGCTTCTCCTGCAAAAGACAGCTTTCTACGGGCGAGGAGTTTGCTTTGGTTGAAGAGAAAGTCCTTTGCAGAGTACATTATGACTGCATGTTGGACAATCTGAAAAGAGAAGTTGAAAATGGTAACATACTGCTTTTGTTAAGGACTATGTTTGTGGTTTAGTTTTAATTAAATTGTTGGGTTTTACCTCATCTTAATAAGAGGTAATTACCTAGCTTTACTAAGGCTGGAAGCACAGGTTCTTGAATTAAAATAATGTGCAAATTATTTGATGTTTTAATTTTTTCTTAAGTCTGTATAACTTGTTTTCTATCCTAAGGAAAGGAAAGCAAAAGCGCATCTAGTTGATAAAATATCATGCTGGATATATTCCTTTCCTCACTTGCAAGGGAATCGTTCGGGGGGTAGTGGGGTAGTGGTGCCAGATCAACTTAACTTTGAACTGATTATGGCTTTTTTTTAAAGCTGAAATTCAGCTGGCCGAGTGCTGTTGGTTATTGTTGGAGGACAGTCTGACTTAGGAATAACATCATTTTTAACATTTAGTAGACGGTGGTGTTTTCTTTTTAATGCTTCAGGTAATGGGATTAGCGTGGAAGGAGCATTGCTAACAGAACAAGATGTTAATCATCCAAAACCAGCAAAAAGAGCTCGGACCAGCTTCACAGCAGATCAACTCCAGGTAGAGGCAATGCTAAAAACTTGCATAGTTCAGGTTTGTGCAGGACATATATGCTGAACTGATAGGAAATCGGATGCATATGGGGGGAAAAAAAAAAACTTGCATGCTTTAAACTATTTCATAAACTATCAAGACACAGCATGTTTCTGGAATTGTTTGTTAGCTTCAGCAGTTTAATATGAAATAGTTACTCTTCAAGCTTTTTATTTCCCTGGGGGCAGCCAGTAATTCTGCAGAGTGGAAACAAAAAGGTTGTTCTATTTTGCTTGCTCGATGAAATCTATTTAATCAGACATTTACATCGCTACACGTAATAAAGACAAAATATTTTTAGAATTATGTAATGTGAAGAGTTGCACTAAAGATGGGTGCTGTATGTGACTTTAAGACCTTAACAGGCTGGAAGCTTGAATCTTGTTGTAATGCACAATAAGGGCTGCAAAAGATTGTGTTCTCAAAGCAGGTAAGCATCGTGGGTTCCTGGTTTTGTATTTACGTGAGCACAGGTTGACTCCTGTCAGTGACCGATTCTTGTTTTCCTTTGGTTTATTAAGAAGATGGGAAATAGTTGCACTTTTATTTCTTGATTGCCTTTTTTCCTCCTAAGACTGTTTTCCTCAATACTTGCTTTTTAGGTCGTATGTTATAGTCTTGGCTATACTTCTGTATACCAGGAGGAGAGACAAGGACTCATCTTTATTTTCCTTCCTTTTCTTCTCCTTCTCTCAGCCCTTCCAAAATACTTTACGTGCTGATTTCCTCAAAGCATCTTTGAGATTTGCCTGTTAAAAATACACTAAAGTCATTATAGTCTTGGTATCATATTTCAAGACCTAGCTTCAGTATTGAAAGCTGCATGTTTTGGGGGAAAAAACCCACTTTTTTTCATAGATCTGGGTGGGGTGAAATACAGGGAAAGTGTGTTTGAAGTGCTTGGCAGCAATTCTTGTACTGTCCAATTTCTTCTTGAACACGTGTTACTGAAATATGTTTTTCCAACATCCCTTTATACTAGCTCAGCCACTAGTTCTGTTCCTTTCCGTGGTCAGCACTAAGGGAAGTGGGAGCTAGGAAGTCTGGAAGTACCAAATCGAAACCCCTCCTGTATAGGATCAAGCCTGCCCTGAAGAGGGAGGGAGGGGGATTGCGTGCATCTGTTCTGCTTTCAAGGCTTCTTGTCTCGTTGCTACCTTGGCAAGAGTTAGCTATGGACTGCCTAAAGATGAGTTATTTCACCCTCTTGATTGCCGCTTCACTTAGATTGGCTTTCTAGGGAAAAACACCGTGACTAGTGCCAGATCCCTATGAAAGGGGTAGTGGTGAGACCAGATTTAGAGGTTTCAGCCTGTAGTGGGAAGGAAGCTGTGGCTTTCTACCTAATCCTAGCTACACATCCCTGCTTTCAGTTTATAACATGTCTTCAAATTTCTGGTCACTGGTGGCCGCCACACCATTCGTTTTCTACTGTCTCGGTCTGAGTTCTGTTTTATTGGCCTGTTCTCTTCTTCGTGGTGAAAGCAGTTGAGAAAAACTGATGTTGAGGTGTACTAACACACGTGAGGCATTTAAGCAGTAATATATAATATGGTGTGTGGCTCTTCAAAGCTTGGTTTGCTATTTCAGCCATGACTGGAGACAGAATGTGTTGTTAATGTGAAACAAGTGTGTTAGCAGTAATTTGACAAGGGCACAGGGCAAGGGCTCTGGACATAAAGCTCAAACTCCTGTAAAAGGGAACTTTCTTTTTCAGCAACAGCTGAATGGGAGATAGGTCCAACCATCAGAGCAGGAACTGTCTTCAAGGCTTCTTCCTGTCTGCTGCCAATGAAACTTCTGTGTTTCCCCTCTTTTCATGCTTTAAATAGGTTGTAACCTACTTCAGCAGGTGTTTGAGGTCTTGGGGCCTCTTGTTATTTAATGGCACTTGCTATCTGCTCAGTGCACCTGTGTCTGTACCTGTCCTTGATGCTGGTATAAGACTTTACTTCCAGCAAGGGAAGCACCCAGAGGGATAAGTGTCTGCCAGAGAGGCAGTGTGTAGTAACTCACCTTGTGAAGTACTTGTACAAAAGGATGTCCGTGCTTCTTGATGTTGTTGGATGAAACAGTAGGGAAGTAAATAGTGTAACGCTTCTGAATGTGGAGAGAAGTAGTCTGAATCTTCAAAGATGAAGTCAGGCAAAATTTGCAGACCATCAAGGGACAAAATCCAGAAATGAGAAATTACAGTTTACTAAGTTGCCAAAGATACCAAGCAGAAACCCATGAAGCCTTACTTCCTAAATAAGGTAAACTCTTACAGGCTCAAAAACTGTTCAGGATGCAGGCCAAGTTGACATCTACTTCCTCAAAAAGATGTAATTCATATCCTAATGACAAGTGTTCACTTCAATTTTCTGTAAAAAGATGAGTGGAGCCAAACAATTACGTGGTGCAGGTCAGCCAAGGTGGACCCTCTGTGTTCCTCAGGTCAGTTAAAGGTAAATGAGACACAAAGTGCTTCCCGCTTGCCGGCCTCCTCCATGCAGCTGAAAAGAGGATTAGGTTGCTCCATATAATGCAAGGTGCAGATAGTGACTGACAGGTTCAGAGAGGTGGATCTGAGTCGTTCCTTCCTCAGGCTGTATGCTGTGGTCTGCTGCTATAGAAGTTTTCTTTATCAAGCACGTTTGAATTGCTTTGCAGGGGATTTTCTCCCACAGTCCTTTTAATGCAATCGTAACAGAGCACCTCCTCCATTTTTTACTACTGCCAAGCAGAATTAATTTCTTTAATTTCTGGTAAATGTCTCAGTTAAGCACAACTAGGGGCTTGTATTTTGGCTTTGGGGGATTCCCCCCACACCCTTTAACGTATTGGGGACTGGGTGCTAGTGTTTGCAACAGTTTCCTAAAACCAGGCAAGGAGTAGGACCATGGTCTGAGAGGAATCTCTAATGCTGCTCTCAGGACTGCCCACAAAACCCTGCAATCTCTTACCTTGTCTTTTCAGGTTATGCAAGCACAGTTTGCTCAGGACAACAATCCAGATGCACAAACGCTTCAGAAACTGGCAGAAAGAACAGGCTTGAGCAGGCGTGTTATACAGGTACCTGTGCGAAGTTACTTGACTAACAAAGTCTGGTACCCATCCATTGGAAATGCTTAACAATCATTTTCTCTGTGTAGTTGTTCTGAGATAGAGAAAGATCTAATCTGGCAGTCTTAATGTAACTTCAGACAACGTACTTAGTCAGGAAAAGGTCTAGACCACATGTGTTAATCTGGAAAGCTTGCTTTATTCCTCTTGCACTTTGTGTGGAGGATTAACATCCTTCCAGGAAGAAACTTCTCAGCCTAAATAGTATAGGAATTGGCATTCTTCTACATATACATTTCTGACTTTAATAGCCTGTTCTTAAGACCTGCACTCTTTTTGAAAATGGCTTATGGTACGACACATTAGAAGTGAGTATCTAGTGATCTGTTCTGTAGAGCAGAGTTTAAAATATATACCCATGCCATCCAAAACTGAGAGAAACACAGACTTAGAATCTTTGCTTGAAGATGCCTCTCGGCAAACATTAGATGCATGCTCTTTTTATACATAAATATGGATTTTTATACAATATATATAAACATATACATGTATAACTTACAAATAAAAATAAGTTTGCAGTTCCCTTGCCTCATTGTAGCCTGGGAGACTGACAGAATGTTTCTACAGAAATGAGGTATCTGGCAGCTGCGATTCAGCTTTAAAAAAGTGGAAGCTTGCACACTTATCAATGTGAAAAGGAAAACGGGTATCCTCTGAAAAACCTGCTTCACTGTCAGCGGTGCTCAGGCACGGAGACGGCAGCGTCCCGTTGTGTGCCTAGGTGCGGCACAGGGCTGCGGATGCTGGTGCTCAGCGTGAGGGGATGCCGGCCCCGGGAGCTGTGCAGCCCCTCACCATCCCCATCCTTTGTGGGCTGCTGGGTGCTGCAGAAGCTTTCCTGGCTTGACCATGCTTGTTTGAGGCACTGTATAGGCTTGGAATGAGTACTTCTCCCTGTGGACTGTCAGTGTTGCGTTAAAGGCCCGACTAACTAACTGAATTCAGCTGAAGTTAGAGCTCTGAGGGGTTTTTTATTATGCTAACATTGAAACAGAATGCAATCTATCAACACGATGTAAATTTTTCCCCCCTTTTCAGGTGTGGTTTCAAAATTGCAGAGCACGCCATAAGAAACATGTTAGTCCTAATCATTCATCTACTGCTCCTGTCACAGCAGTTCAGCCCTCCAGGCTGTCTCCACCCATGTTAGAAGAAATGGCATACTCTGCATACGTACCCCAGGATGGGACTATGTTAACAGCTCTACACAGCTATATGGACGGTAGGTATAACGACTTTGCATATCCGAGTAAAATCATTATTGACTGTAGTGAGAACAGACTACCCAGTACGGATTAAAGAAACAATGGATTTTTAATTTGTAGTGTTTGTTATAGAGTATCTTAATACTGTAATTGTCTCGACACCTCATTAAGAAGCTTTGCCTCTTCAAGCAGTAGCCCTTCAGTGTAAGAGCACAGCTGAAAATCTGGGTATGACCGCTTTTTGTGCTTCCTCCAAATTATGAATGCTAGTAATGAGAAATCAAACTTTTTTTTTTTTTTAAAATGCATGTGCCACATTTTTAATATGTCATTTTAATGACATATGACTCTTACCCCAAGGATTGTAGGTATGCTCAATCCAGCAACTCCATGGAAAACTGAAGCTTCCCTCACAGTAGCTCATGGGGGGGGTGTGCTGGTGGTCAAAAGTATCTTTCGGTCATTGTGGGGCTTGTGACCCAGCAAGTCAACAACTTTGGGTTGTATTTGTGATTAGGAGAGACTATGAAAGTTTGGGAAGAACTAGGCTCTGAGCTGCACGTCTGGCCTGAGCTTATTTTTCTCTCCAAAGTGGTAGTGTAAGGTGGGCTGTGGGTGGAGGAGTGTGAATGCTGGGCTGGGGAGAACTGAGCATGCTGAGGTGGTTGGGACCAGTGAACTGTTCTTACCCAGTGGGATTGACTATCTTATAATCTTTTTCTACCTCTGATGAAGTTGACCAGTAAATTTCTGTTTTTGTAGCTCATTCACCTACAGCTCTTGGACTCCAGCCTTTGCTACCCCATTCAATGACACAGCTGCCAATAAGTCACACCTAATTCCTTTCTGTCAGGGATATAAACTGTTAAGGATGTAACCTTAAGTTACTTATTGTGTATTAAAAATATCATTGGAAAGATATTAATGTTAACTTTTTATTTAACATCTAAAGCATTTTCAAGACCATTTTTGCTGCCCAGGTATGTAAGTATATTTAGCCTGCAAGACACTTTTATGGATTCTGCATAAATAACTATTACATTGTTTACAAGCCTTATTAAACACTTTTTTTTTGTATTGTCTGGAAGTAGTCCACTCTAGTTATGTGTGTGTTAATTTATTTGTCATCAAAAGAGCACTTTGCCTAAAAGAAAGGACTGACAATTGTGCAAAATGTTTACAATTCTTTGTGAAATTGTAGTTTATCATTAGTTTGTACCTGTAAGTTATTGCTAAAAAGTATTACCTGTATTTGAGTTGTATACAGCCTATATGTTAAAGCTTATTTCTGTGAGTTTACAAAAATAAATTTTGGTTGCAAATATTTTCAAAATGAACTGAATAAAGTTTCTGCTGTAGCATGCTAAGCAAAAATGTTGCTGTGTTTATGGCTGAACTGTGATCACTTCTGAAGTGCTTAACTTGAATCTTCAATTTTAACAGCAGGTCCCTGGCATACTTAGCTACACTACACCAAACTCAGGAGTGTTCAACTGATTTTAAAAATCCTGTAATGGGCTTAGATAGGTCTTAAAACACCCCGAATAGGTACTTCTTTAAAGTAAGCATATGCAAAATGGTGCTGCTCCTGAGGGTGAGGGTGTACACCTGCAGGGTGAGGGAAGTGGTGGGTGTATAGGATAGGTTTTTAACTGTGATTAAGTTGGCAAGTGGAGAACCTAAATTCACATCTGCTTTAACATTTTGAATTTTTATGACTTCAGCTTCTGTGTTTTTTCAGTGGTTTTATCTTGCAATTTTGTTGAGTGGGATGGTAACTAATATGGAACACTTAAACAGAGTATGCATTTTAAAGTAAAATCTAGTTCAGTATTTTAACTGACTTGTGTCAAACTACATGTGAACAGAGATTGGAATTCAGTCCAACGCACAAAAGTCTACAGTGTTTTAAGCCATTAATGTGCTAAGACTTAATTGCAAAGCATGTTTTGATGCACTGATTTGATGGACAAAGGCCAGTGCATACTATAAATTCAACTGATTTTTGTCTTCACAGACTAGTTTCCTTCAAGGATTTAAGACGGGTAGACCCCACCTGCACACCTAAACTTTACTTGCATCAGAGGGATATTTGAAGGTGCTTTTGAAGGTGTGAGTGTCTGCATCATTATTTTTTTTTTTTTTTTTTTTTTTTTCTCTCCTCTCTCCCAGCTATGAGTTAGTGCCTCTGCTTTGTGAAACTTCTTAACTGTCCTGGTCAAATCATTTCAAAGTGGAAAAGGCAGCATTCTCCCTGCCACCATGGAGAGTTGATGGCTTTTGAGAGCGTAACTTTAATGGCATGCCCTGAATTATTCAAGTTCCGTTTCAAGTGCTGCTCACAGATGTCTGAGCTAATCAGAGTAGCAAAAGCAATCTATTCGCACTGGCGCAGTGGTTTGTCTAGGCTAATAGTATCCTGCCGCTTTTTTTTTTTTTCTCACAAAAAACTCTAAGGACATGGGGTGTTGTGGAAGTTGACTGACTTTATGCTTTATTCTAACATATGTAACTTCTTAGTGAAATGCTCCAGGTGGAATACTGAATTCGGGATGTCATTTTCAGTACCAAAGCTAGCGCCGTACATCCGTGTGGTACCAAACCATAGCAGTAGGCAAACTGGTTTTTGTTCATTTGTTGGGTCTGATACGCAAGTAAGGCAACCTTATTGCTGAAGCTTTACCAGTTAAACGCTAAATAAGGCTAATTTAGATCTTAACATAACTTGGCAATTTAAAATACTGCTCGGTAGTCTTGTTTAAAATGTGACTTGACTTACATAGAGTCCCTTTAAAGAAAAGGAATTATTCACTCTAATTTGAAGGACTAAGCAGCTTCAGGTTGCCTGAAACAAAGTCTAAGCTTATTTGTGAAACACCCCCTTCTGTTCAGTTTCAAAGTCAGTGCAGGATTAAAGTAAATGGGGAGCAATGTTCCCATTTCCCTATGAAAATAGGAAGCAGGAGAATTCATCTTTTGTTCCTGGGGGTGCTTGACCAGCCATTTATAAGTGCAGCTGGGAAAATGCAGAGTTGAGAATGGGAAGTTTTGGCCGAGGCTCTGGACTGTTGAATTTTTCCTTCAAGAGAAGATCTGACCGGTGCCACGAGCTGACTTCAGCTGCCTGCAGTTGCTGTTGGGCTGCGTTGGGGCTGGCAAAGCACATGGAAAACTGAGGATTGCTTTAGTCCACTGCTCTCACCTGAAGCTGTTGCTGTAGCCTGACTTGCAAGTTTGAACACTTGTCTCTTTCTGCTGGTTGCGCACCAGCTTGCGTTTGTGACTTTGCTGCTGAGCTCTTCTGGCTCTGGAGACATCCTTACTGCTTCTTGGTGTTTAAATAGTATCTTGGATATTGCTGTGCTGAGGGAATTCATGGGATCTCTTTACGGGAAGGGAGTGCAGCTGTAGGTACAGCAGGAACACATAGTGTGCTGAATCATCACCTTTTAGACTGAACAGGTTCAATTTAAACTGGAGATGTTGTATGAAATTAGTGTGTGAAATAAATTGGCCTTAACATCTTGCTTGGAAGTGGCCTATCTCGAACAGAGAATGGTGCAGAGCTCTGCCTAGTGCTCTGCTGAGTGGATGCTTTTGCAGAGAACCATATTTGTAATCTATTCTCTGTGATACCAAAGTGTTTAGCCTACAAGGTAGGATGATCATATGGCACTTGCTAATAGTTTCAATGCAACATATCTTAAAAAAATCCGAAATGGAGCTAATGATGCAAAAAAATTCTGCATCAAGAGGTTCTCAGAGGAAGAAATATCACTGAAAAAGTTAAAGTTGAGTCTCAAAAGTACTGCGAGAAGACTGGCTATTAGGACTTCCACTCCTTTTTCCCTTCCTTCCCTGACCCATCTAACCCATGCAAGTTGGGGCTGGTCACGTATTATTCTGTGCTGAAGCAAGTAACTGCACTGCAAAATAAGACTTACATTTTATCATATTCAGCCTGCTGTAGGAAGAGGCAGAACCATAGATGAAAATTACCCTCCTAGTGCAGACTTCACAGACTGTCTAAGGGATGTCTGTTTATGATTAGAAGTTGGTAGTATTTCAGTTGGCAAGTGGAGAAATAGTCTATTGCTACAGCATCTTCAAGACCTCTTGGAAATATTTCAAGCTCTGCAATTAAATGCAATACTGGAATCTAGATGTTTTGAAATTCCAGTTACTCACTGGAAATAGGGGTTTGTGTTCATATAAAGATAAATCTGAAAAGTACTCAGGCTGCCCCTAGTCTGCCTTTCACCCCAAGGCACAATGAAGTATCTTAGCTACTGCTAGTGGAGATGTTTGACTAATCTGTTCTTAAATGTCTCCAATAGTAGAAATTTTTACAGACTCCACAGGAAATGTGGCACTTTGTTAGGGGGAAAAAGAAAATTCCAACAAAAGAAAATCCCCAGTCTTCTCCTCCCTGCCAAACAAATCCAATGCATTGAGTTTTTTCATACCAAGTCATGTTTTCTAAATGTGTGATTGTTCCTGTGCTGTTTTCTTTGTCCATCTTCTTGAAGCACAAAACTCAGTTTTAGCCAAGCCCTTACTGATGCTCAGCAGGAGGATTAGGGCACATAAGTTCTCATTGCTGTGTGTTCCAGGATGACAGCTGCTTTTCTTACAGCCCTACCCTCCGCGTTCTGTTTGTGACCAGCTGTTATCTTGTCTCCTGTTTACCATTCTCTATAGATTATTGCAACCTAGGTAAGCAGCTTCTATTTTGCCATACTGAATTTCACCCTGCTTCTTTCTTACTATTTCTCAAAGTTTTCAAAGTCAGTTTGAGTTCCAGTTCTGAGCTCCCCAGTCCAACCTCTTGTATTGTCAGAAAAGTCCACTAAGAATCTCTTTATTCTGTCACCGAGGTAATTAAGTAAAATACTGAATAGAGCCTGATCCTTTGGTAATTCCATTTTTCCAACAGGAGAATCACAGAATGGCAAGGGTTGAAAGGGGCCTTGGGAGATCATCTAGTCCAACCCTCCTGCTAAAGCAGGTTCACCTAGAGCAGGTTGCGCAGGACATCATCCAGGCGGGCTTTGAATATCTCCAGAGAAGGAGACTCCACAAGCCTGGCCAGCCTGTTCCAGTGCTCTGTCACCCTCAAGTATTGTCTGAACTGCTTACAACCACTTATTTTCCACCTTTTCTATCCTAGGTTATTGCCCTATCGTGCTTATGTCAGACTGTGACATGTACAATGTCAACCACCCATGCAGCTGTTGCCCTTGCTAAAAGGAAGTTGAGGTGATGTGACAGTCCCCTGGGTTGCATTCTTGTTATTGCTGGTGTGGTTAAGATTTTTTAAATTCTTGAAGAAAATAATTAGACTGAAATGAAACTGCATTATTGGATTCCCTGGCTTTCCTCTGCCCGTTTCTTGGGCTCTAGGCACTCTATCAATTCTTTCTCCTGGTGTCTCTCAAAAGCAAGAGTTAATGGTTTGGAGAGGTTGCTACATGGCTCAACTGTCCTGGGACAAAATGCAGCAGGCCCAAGCTACCTGAAAATATTTAGTTTTGAGAATATTTAGAGAGCTTGCTTTTGTTGGCCTTAGTACTAACTGTACTAGTGACTTGTTCATACATTTCTTTTTATGTTTTTTTTTTTGTTTTTCTGGTCAAAACTGATACAGGTGAAGGTCTAGTCTGGCCGCCTGGTATTCGCTGTCTATAGTTTTGACTCTGAGTAACAGATCAGCACTGGCTGTACCCTTGATTGGATTTATTAATGCTAACACGATAATTAACACAATGCTGTTTTCTTTACCCTTGCTGACATTTGCTAATGCTGCCTGTGTTGGCTTTTTGGCTAGAAGTTCATGTTG